ATGTCAGAGTCCAGATACGTTTTTTATACACACATATATATATATTTATTTATATATATATGCACTGATGTTGATAGATTGCCCTTAAATTGTGCTCCGAACTGCTTTAGTATGCCAGCAACGAAGAGCTCAACACGTGTAAGTGTCAGAGTCTCTGTAAGTGAAAAAGTAAAGACCAGAGAAAATTGTTACAATTTGAGAATGCTTTAATTATAATTTATTCATCAAATTGAAAGACTGTATCCTACGAAACTCCATTGTAATACTAATTAGGTATTAAATATGATTATTTTAGTTTTACACAGATATTGTCATGGACAGCATCGGATATTGTTTGAATTTGGTATTAGATAAATATTAGAGTATATATAAACATAATTATATGGATTGAGTTCAATGGAGTTCGAACCAGTGTTAGTTATAAAACATGAATTATTTACGCCAATTCATATTAATCTTTCTGGTACATATTTACACATCCCATATCAACAAATTTTTGCATTTTGAAACCACTACGAAATACAAATAAAATAAGAAATAATATATCATGTAAATTATTAAAAATTCATTGGTATATTCAAGGATTTTTTTGGTGTTTAATAAAAATGAAACACAGTTTAATAATCGGATTTAGAAGCTCGAAATATTTTTAGTCCTTCAAACTCATTTAACCAAATATTTTTGAGATTTCTGTAGCATGCATATTTGATGGACTATMCATAAATGCGTTTATCAATGCAAAAAATAAATAAATAAAATATATATACCTGTTAGTTTGCTGTTGATTCGACAGGCTCTGCTCAATATTCCGTTTATTCTGACGGAATGAAATTCAATTTTTATTTAACTTGATGCAATTTGGGCCGGCGCAGTGCCTGTTTTATCGTCCGGATTGTGCATCCGTTTATTTTCCATGCAATTATTGTTGTTGTTTTTTATTAACTTGTATTTTTTTTTTTAATTGCAGAATGATGAAAGCCACAGCGTGGTTTTGCCCGGTGTTATTGACTTTACTCAGCGCCACGAGGCTCGTTTGCACCGCACAGCGTGGTGCGCCGGCAACAGCAGCGGGTGCTGCAGGCGGTGGCTCAGTCAACGGATTTCCGCTGGACTATTTGGATGTACAGGCCGTACAGGTGAGTAAGCCGTGAGCGATGCTATTGTCCCCCGTATACCAGTCTTTTGTGGTTTTCCGCAGTTGTCGCTCATTTTTCTGACATTTTTTTTTTTCGGACTCACATTTCTTTTGCCTTTTAATCTGTACAAAAGAGAAATGGAAAAAAATGATGAATTCTTTGATGTTGCCATCGGGGCATTTATAAGCATTTCATTTGCAAACAGAAGAGGGAATGAGAAAAAAATAGAAACCAGAAGTAAATTTAATTTTATTGCTTCCCTTATTTAAATAACTGTCATAATTGTTGGTATATGTTCTTAATGTTATATATATACGTGTGTCTGCAATTGACAATCAATTGATTCCTTATAAAAAGTTCGGGAATGGGCGACTGGCGACTCATTGAATCCGATGGCAATAAAACATGCTAAGGTCTTTCTTTTATAAGAAATGACAAATCGGACCTGAAGAGATAGTGATTTTTTAAATTCTGCTTTATTTTGGACACTATTGATGCCAGAGACCTCAAATTTTGTATATATACTCGGACTTATCACCCAAGCTTTGTCGGATATATATCCGCCCACATGGGGGGCGTGGCAAACCGCAAAAGTTGATATCTTATAAAGTATAATAGCTAGAAGCTTCAAATTTAGAGAGTTAAGTTACCAGTAACCTCCTCTATCGATGACCCAACAATAATTTTTTTCGCCACTTTAGGGGCATGGCATATCGAAAAATACCCTGTAATTTTCACATTTTTTGAGGGTAAGCATTCAAACTTTGCAGTTAGGATACCGTTATCACGTTTTAAGAACTGACCAAAAATGAGGTGGTGCGCATAGTCGGGGCGTGGCAAATCGGAAAACCCTTCATATTTGACAGTATTAGAGCGAAACTTAACTACTAAATTGTTGATGGGATGTGAATGAGTATTCCGCAGTCGGTAACGCCCGACTGCAACGTTCTTACTTGTTTTTTATATATGTTTATCAATAAATTCTCCTACTTAGCCCCTGTTATCATTCGTGTTTGTCCAACTCTCACAAATTTCGATGTAGTTCCCAAGGAAGCTCCCTTATCGACTTGGTCGTATTTCCGATTAAACAACTTTTGATTTCTAATGAAGGCGCAATTGAAAAACATTTTAAGTATTCTCAGTATTATCTTGAAATGAGACATACAATAGTCCCGAGCAATCTAATCAACAGAATGTGTCCAATGACCAATCATTAAGATTTAACATTGTGAAAACAAACAAATTAGTCAATGTTCTTTTGTGCTAATTTATGAAATTAAGCGAGTGTATTGGTTTATAAGGGCAATATCTTGATGTCTGGCGCTTTTAAGAATTTATACACATTGGTGAACACGAGATTATAACGTGAGTTGTTAATTATTTCAAAAATGTTTACCTAAGTAAATTTAAAAATAAACTGTATCCTATAATTACAATTTTAGATTTGACCTACTGTTGAAATCTATCAAGTTATAAATAAATGTAAAATATTTACAACTAAATATTCCAAATAAAAAAAAATAAAAAAAATTGTAATGCATTGTGAAAAATCGAGGCATAGCATTTCTCGACTAATTACGTCTCTTAAAATTCCAAAATATTTATATATTCATACATTCAAGTATTGTTGTACCGTGAACGAGCATTACGCATTCGTTAGTTCCCAACAGCAACATTCCCACTCGATTGTAAATGGAAAATTTTTAATAACGATTTATGTACGCTTCATTAGCACAGCAAAAAATAAAAGTAACAGGAAAAAAATGTAAACAAAAAGTAAACAAAACATATTATGACCTTGTTTGTTTACCTTTGACAAGAAGATAAATAAAGCTTGACGCTTTGTTGTTTTACAGCGTGAATAAATCCCCCAAAGTTGACAACAAAAGTTCAAGTTTTCACGCTGTTTAATTTGGTCAATATGTGTGAGCTCCACTTGGAGGCCACAATGGGGCTTAATGCTTGGGGGCACTGCTGCCATCACTTGTCAAATTGACAGGCGGCCATTTCAAAGGAGCAACTTTTGGGATACACGAACATCTGTGAATGTGGTCTTCATTCTCACAAATATTCTCTTTCTGCCCGGGGCCTGCATCTTTTATCAACTATTTGGTTGCACTATAAATATTTTAGCCAGTGCAGCATTTGGTAAAATCAAAACTATTTAGAGCCAAGATGAAAGTTTGCCAGCGTAAATAGTTTAGTCAAATGGAAATTTATGCGCAAACTTTGCCAAAAAAAACAATTCATAGCAATTTGCGATAAAACTGGGGCAAAGAAAACTAGGCGAATGGGGAATACTCTCTCATTTGTAATTCCGGCCATATTCAATATATCGCCTTGATTGCCTTGATTGATACAGAAATAATTTTAATGGGATTGGTTCCATGCTTACAGAAAACGCCACAGGGAACTAATTAACTAATTAAAAAAAAAAAAAAA